GCGTCAAGTAAAAGAAAGGTTAAAATTAGAAAATTCAATTTATTTGATAATTTCCCAGAATAATTAGAGTTAATATGGGTTAATTAATATGCAAATCTCTCAGCAGATGTTCTGCAGCAGGGCCTGTGTGAGAAAACAGCCTTTGCTTTCTCCTACGTGATTTTGGCTGTCAGTTATTGGGTATAATTACTGTAACTAACCGAATACACACAAAACCTTTGGAATATAAAATTGTTACAGTTCTAGCTCTGCACAAGCTGCTACTTTTCTGCAATAAAAGCGAACAATTTCTTTCAGAAAATAGGAGCCTTTTTGTTCCTTTCTTGATTTAAAAAGAAGAAATGAATCAAGTAAATGGCTTATCTTTTTCTATGCATAATTAGGTCAGTATTATATGAACATTCCAATGAGCAGTGGTACAAACGTACATATAAAATGATAGCTCAAACCACCTGCAAAATCACATAAAATTGTTTTATTCAGAATCTTTTTTTTCCTTCCCCACCAGAACTTTGAAATGCTGAATGTCTTTCTTTCCAACATTGCCAACATTTTCTAAATTCAAAAGGATCCTACAACTTTATTAATTTTTTTCTCTTCAAAGACACAAAAGAATAAAGTGGCTAAATGTTTTTAAAGGTACATAAAAGGGTGGACTCTTTTGTAAAAGAACTTGTGTGGAGTTTTAAACTTTTAAAAGTGCTTTGCACTTTGAATGGCTATCTATTTACATGTTGGGGCTGTTCACTGGCCTATGAAATGTACAAAGGTTCAGGGAAGCTGGAACTCACACTTATGAGAGATAGGCTGCTTTGCATATGTCAAACCCATGGATACTTTTAATCTTATAATAATATACTTAAGAGAGGTTGGATATGTTTTTACACTGCACAATTGATAACTTTATTGAAATTGTTTTATTCTCATGTATTTATAAACTTCTAAAAGGATACTCCATGGGAATAGAAAAATTTTAGGCCCACTCAATAAATTTAGATTACGAGTTAAATACTTAAATCCATTTTATAGAATTATGTCCAGAACAATTATTCAATCTCAGTACTTAAAAGCAGGATGCAATATATTTTTTTTTATTGGCAGATAATGTTTTCTTTTAAATCCAATAATCATCAAGCATCTGTGAAATAAAATTATTCACCCCATTTTTTGGCTGTCACAACTGAGTCACATGCATAATCTTGCCTTGTCCAAATTTTCTACTTTAGTGCAGGGGCTGGAGTGGGTGCTGGTGGAGGCACCCTTTACCCTTTCAACTAGTTGACTAATTCAGTGTCAAGTCTCACCTTACAAAAGTGTCCTGAAGCTTATATTGGTGGTGTAAATTGCAAACAAGGTCAATGCAGATCGATGTCTTAACCTTCAGAATGTTTAAATAATTGGGGGTTATATGACATGGCATATGGTTAAGTCTTCTTGCAGTGGATTTCACCCAGACTTTCTTTTTTTTTTTTTTTTTTTTTTTTTGCCACCCAAACAGCATGAAAACAAACAGTCCAACAGCAAGTTTGCTCGAGCAGGGTGATCTAGTTGTCACGGACACAGCTCTGTTTGTACACCACAACACTTAACTTCAGCTTGCTCCTAAGGTAGTTCAAGGACCATTCTTTCTTTTTCTTTAGCTGAGAGAGAGAGAGAGAGAGAGAGAGAGAGAGAGAGAGAGAGAGAGAGAGAGAAAGAGAGAGAGAGAGAGAGAAAGAGAGAGAGAGCACACCAAAGAGAGAGAGGGAGAGGAAGAGAGAAACTGGTCCCTTCCTAGTATGTCTCAACTGCTTCTTCCCAGGTCCTGAGTCCCAAAGAGCTCCCTGCCACCTTCCATCAATTTCAGGGAGTGGAATTTGCTGATCCTGGCCACTTGGTGGCCTAAGCCTGGATGTGGCAAAAGTCAGATAGCCACAGTGCACTGTTAAGTTCACCTAGGCCTCAAAAAGGCTTTCATTTTAGAGCTCCAGTTTGGGTTAGCAAGTTCTACAGACTTCCCTCCTTCACTGAAAAGAAAGGCCCAATCATATGCTTCTTCCTCCTTTTACCTCAAGGTAACAGGTTACACAAATTAAACAATCATGCCAGCATTCATTTTCCAAGAAAAATAAATAAATAAAAGGTAAATTTTCACTTTCTGAGATGACAAGGAAAATTCCTCAAGCAGATGAAGATGCCACTCTTTTTGCTGTGAAAAAATACACTGACAATTTGTTTCCTCCCTAATTTTTTGGACACAGTTTACCAAGTCCTTCCTAAGTGTCTTAGATGTAAGCCACCTTTTTCTCTGTTAGCTTCGCTTTCCTCATCAAGATTATCTATTGGTTGACAGCTGCAGGATCTATGACCCACACCCTAAAAAAAAAAAAAAGGAGCAGTTTGAAAGCAACTATAAATTTTATCCATTCTTTGGCCAAAGTTATCTTATGAAGTATTGATAACACATTATCTTACAAAGCAGAATAGTACTGCACGAAATGATACTAAGATGTTTAAGACT